CCACTGCACTCCAGTCTGGGCGACAGAGTGAGACTCCAACTCAAAAAAAAAAAATCCAAAATAACTCTGAAGTCAGGTGTGGTGGCTCATGCCTGTCATCTCAGCACTTTGGGAGGCTGAGGTGAGGGCACTGCCTGAGCCGAGTTCGAGATAAGCCTGGGCAATCTGGCAAGACCTCGTCTCTCCAATAAATCAAAAAATTAGCTGGGTGTGGTGGCATGTGCCTGTAGTCCCAGCTACTTGGAAGGCCGAGGTAGAAGGATCACCTGAGCCCAGCACCCAGCAGGTTGCGGCTGCAGTGGCTGTGAGCATGCCACTGCACTCCAGCCTGGGCAACAGGGAGACTCCAACTCAAAAAAAAAAGCATCATGGTGATGCTCTAAAGAGAACTAGATAATATAATATAGACCAGCCTAAGAAATGCATCCATGCCAGAGTAGTCTACTACTGTTATGCTAACCTGGGTATGCTTCCCTGTACCCAAAGGATTGCAAAAATCTCCTTCCAGTTCCAGCTTAGTCCTCCTGCCCCTAAAAGACTGCCTAATACAGCGCCTGACACAGAATACTCCTTCCTGCTCAAGAGCCTTAGTGGCTCTCCATTTTTTTTTTGAGTCGGAGTCTCACTCTGTTGCCCAGGCTGGAGTGCAGTGGCATGCTCACGGCCACTTCAGCCTGGACCTACTGGGCTCAGGTGATCCTCCCACCTGAGCCTTCCAAGTAGCTGGAACCACAGGCATGTGCCACCACGCCTGGCTAATTTTTTTTATTTATTGTAGAGACGAGGTCTCACCAAGTCGCCCAGGCTGGTCTCGAACCCACGGGCTCAGACAATCCTCTCGCCTCTGCCTCCCAAAGTGCTGGGATGACAGGCTGAGCCACCGAGCCCGGCTTATCCACACTTCTTGAAATCTAAACTCCTTAACTTGAATTTGAGGCTGTCTGCATCAAGCCTGTCTCTCCAGGCTTACCTCTCACAATACCTCTGCACGAGTCCGCCATCCAGCACTGCAGTCTTCCTGTCATCTCCTCCACCCAAGCTCTGTATCTACATTGCTCCCTCAGTGCCACTTCCTCCTCCCCTCTCCTGATTACCTTTCCCATGACTGGGCTCAAATGCTGGCTCACCTGTCTCTGTCCTCCTACTCAGACACCAGAACCCCTCTCTGTTCCCCCCTGTGCTGTGGTATAATGTCAGTGCTGAGTCAATACCTGGAGGCAGATTTCAATGGAGAGAAAAGGCAGGAATTCTGAAGCATTCTGAATGAGAAGGGAAGCCTACAGAGTTTAGAATTTATTGTCACGAATACATTAGATGAATAACGAAGGTCTGACAACATGGTGGTTGCCTACAAAGACTTCTGCAACCAGTGCTGCAGCCCTCATTTCTACTAAACATTCTTGTGATGGCTCCAATGTTATAGACAAGAATTAACAGAAAAAAATAAAAAAGAAATCTCCTCATGGTGTTAGAGGCCTCTCAGCTGCAGCCGCCCAGTGCCCGAAGAGGGTCTTTCCAGCTGCAGAGGGTGACTTCAGTCCACGTCTGCCCTCCTGTTTGTCTTTATGGCAGAATGAATTCTCTTTTGTCTCAGCCTTTCCCGATTCATGTTTTCTATCCTGAAAACAAAAGACTGCAATTAGGCCCAGATGCCCAATCAGTGCTTTTCAACAGGGTGAGAGGAGCTGGAAGCTCGATGGGAGGCAGAGCAGCCAGTTCGGCAGGTGCCAGCTCGCAAGCCCCGTGCCAGGTCAGCGTCCTCTCCTCTTCCTGGAGCTTCTCCTGGCCTGCTGGCAGGTCTTGGGCTCTAGCCGCCTCCTTTCTTACCTGTGCAGACTCTCGCCCACATTTTAGGGCTGCTTAGGGCATTTCCCGGTACCTGATTCTCTGAAGTTTCGTATCTTCTTTGGATGGCTCCTTGGGCGTCTGGCTGGCATCAGCAATCATGTCTCGAATTTTCTGTAGGCAATCTGCCAGATTTCGGAACTGATAGCGGCTACTTTCAGAGGTGAGGATCAACTCTCCTGACCTGTTGATCTTGTTTTTATGCTGCAGAGAACAAAGGAAAAACTAAAGTCCTGTTAGAGTTAAGGTTTAAAAGTCACTGAAGCTGGGCTCGGTGGCTCAGCCTGTAATCCCGCGCCTCTGGGAGGCTGAGGTGAGTGGATTGCCTGAGCCCGCGGGTTCAAGACCCGCCTGGGCAGCGAGACCTCATCCCTACAGTAAATCAAAAAATCAGCCAGGAGTGGTAGTGCATGCCTGTAATTCTGGCTACTCGGAAGGCTGAGGCAGAAGGATCGCCGGAGCCCAGCAGGTTGAGGCTGCAGTGGCCGGGAGCGGCCACTGCACACCAGTCTGGGCGACAGAGTGAGACTCCAACTCAAAAAAATAAAAATAAAATAAAAAAATAAAGTCACTGAGGGATTTCTAGGGACAGAAAGGACTGGTGGTTACCGTGATGGCAATCCTCTGCCTCACCGGCTCTGCAATCCAGTCAGCGGATGCCAAATGGAACCGGACTTCAGCCTTGGAATTCACTGTGGATGAAAGGGAGAAAGCAGCATGGGCTCCTGAGACTCTCAGGGAGGCTCTGTCTCCGGGTGACCCCCGACCATCCTGAAACAAAGGGAAGCCACACACCCAACCATGTTCTAGCCTATGTCCACGCTGGCCATAGGATGAGTCTGCAAAGATAGGCACTTTGGGACAAAAATAGACTTCCAGTAACTAAATATCCGGTGCTTCTCTTACAGTTTTACTGGGTGTAAAAAAGAATGGGGGAGGGATGGGTTCCATCAGCATGAAGAAAACCTATTCTTGGAGCTGGATGCCAGCTCACACTGTGATTTTTCTTTGTTTAGACCCACAAGCCAATCCTAGTCCTTGCAACCCACAGCTGAGCATCTGAGAATCAGACCACATTCAAAAGAATAAAGAGGATTATTATAAGCTGGCTGTATTTAAGCTTCTGCTGGAAAAAATCTCTTTATTCTATATGAGCATAATCACAGAGCTCCTCAGGCCCATCTTCCAGCTAAGGTTTGAAGCAAAAGAAAGCAACAAGGCACCCTACACATACCTTTGTTAACATTCTGCCCCCCAGGACCACTACTCCGACAATAAGAAACTGTCAAGCGATCTGTACGAAAGAAGAAAACACACACAAAGTGGATTATTCCATGGCAAAATGTACAAACTGCTAATTTAATATGAATATAATTATCCCTGTTGTACATATCTCTCTTTCAATGACTTTTATACAGTTTTTTTTTTTTTTGAGTTAGAGTCTCACTCCACAGCCCCAGCTGGAGTGCAGTGACACACAGGCTCAGGGCCACCCCAGTGTTGACCTTCTGGGCTCTGATGATCCTTCTGCCTCAGCCTTCCAAGTAGCCGGAACTACAGGCGTGTGCTAACACATCCAGCTAATTTTTTCATTTATTGAAAAGACCAGGTCTTGCCAAGTTGCCCAGGCTGGTCTCAAACCCACAGGCTCAGGCAATCTACTCGCCTTAACCTCCCAAAGTGCTGGGATTCCAGGGCAGAGCCACTGAGCCTGGCCAACTTTTATACAGTTTTATACAGTTGTCCCTCAGTATCCATAGAGGGTTGGTTCTAGGCCTCCCCACGGATACCAAAATCCATAGATATAAACTGGTGTAGTATTTGCATATAATCTATGCAATTCTCCTGTATGCTTTAAATCATCTCTAGATTACTTATAATACCTAATAGAATGTAAATGTACTGTAAATCATTGTTATGCTTTATTGTTTAGAGAATAATGACAAGGAAAAAGTCTGAACCTGTTCAGTACAGAAGCAACCATTCTTTTTTTCCTCCCAATACTTTTAATCCATGGTTCATTGAATCCACGAACGCGGAGCTAGTGGGTATGGAAACCATTGTACTCACGTGTGTGTGTGTTTGTATAAATGTAACATTCAGATCAGTAAAGCGGGAGATTATTTACAGATGCCAAAACTGAAATCAAAAGCAAGTGACTTTCCCAAGGTCACATAGATGGCAAAGGAAGTGAAGTTAGGGCCCCATTGTCTGTTCCTGTGTATTCTACCAGATCCTGCTGCCCTCACTTTTTGCTTCTCATTTTGTTTGTTTTAAAGCAAAGATTCTTTCAAAAGTTCAAATGAAGGGACAGACTTAGTTTTAGTCAAGCTGTGGCAGATGTGGAATCCCAATAGACCATAAACTCCAAGAGGGCAGGACTGTCTGATTCATTGTGTATTCCCATTGCCTAGCTCACAGTCTTTGTGTTAAAACATCTGTTGAGCCGGGCTTGGTGGCTCAGCCTGTAATCCCGTGCCTTTGGGAGGCTGAGGTGAGT